CCAAGTGGCTGGGGAGAGGGAAGTCTGGGCTTCTCTGCCTAGGCTACTGCCGCTGCGACCCGACCCCGGACAAGCGGAGGAAGATCAATGGATCAAAGTAATTTTAATTATTTGTTTTTGAACTACAATTGTTTTAAGTTTTGTTAATGAGTTGTTGTTTAAAATGTATTAAAAAGTATTTATTTATTAATGGTGATGATATTAAAGAATATATTTAATTAATTTGACATTTATTGATCAATGAAATAATAAAAATGTACACAACTGATTATTTTTAATATTTTATATTAAAATGTTCAAACGAATACAACATTTTATAAGTGTTTGCATTTTGCATACTTTTCCCTAGATATTAGTTTGTATATTGACATTGTTAAGGTTTCTGTTGAGGTCAAAGTTCAGCTACAGTGCCATTCCAGAAGAGGCTGGGTGAGCACATGGAGCTGCAAAAGAAAAATATAACGAGTAAATGAGAATGAGGAAGAATAGTTCAAAGCAGCGTCCTGGCGACTGAATACATTATCTATGAAGAGCTTTTGTTGCAGATATTCTCAAAACGAGCAAATGATGATATTAAATATTCATCTCCAGTGAGCAGCTGAGAGTTCTGCAAAAGGACCCGGCTGCTGCGAACGCAAAGCATTTCACAGAACAGGGCAGAAATGGCATCGTCACATCTATTTACAAGGCCAACGGTGACACCAAAGACACGAGAGGTTCTGAACAGACAGCCACATCAAAACACAGATGAAGAAGTTTTCTGCCCCAGTTCTCGGCTGCAGCCCTGATCCTGCTCCCTGATAAAGAATTCCATACTGGATGAGCTGGAATCAGTAGGAATAGAGCTTTTTCATGCTACGCTGCACTTTAATGACACTAAATGTGTAAATAAATGTCCACTTATGGGCATACAAAAACTCTAATGAGCAAACTGACTTGATGAATTTTTAAAAAGAGCCATAACGAACATAATTGCATTTGCCAAAATCCCATTCCGTATCGCGCTATTATTTTTCCTTTAGAGGGTTCGTTAAATGCCCACTTTGAGCTTCATTGTTTATTGTTCAGGTAAAATTCATCCACTTGGCAAATGAGGAATGAACAATTTATGAGCTATTATACACACGGGTAGGATAAGTGAACAGCCCTTTACAGTTTGTTGAAACTGAGGAAAACTGAAAAGTTTTGTCTGAGGAACGTCACTTTCGTGTGAATTATTCATGGGCATGCTGCTGGAAGCTCTTTGATATTTCTGGATCCGGCTGAGGCTGGGGGTCGAGCACTGGTCAGGTGTCAGGCTCTGGATGGAGACCCTGAGGGGAGGGAGCGTGTGTGAGTCATATGAATTAAGCTTTTGGTCCTCGTGGCTGCAGACGGAGCAAAGCGGATTGGAGACAAAGGCCTGCAGTATAGGATTTCTGCTGAGGCATGACTGTGAGGAATGCTCCATTACTTTGCTTCATCTTGTTTCATGCAGCTGCAACATCAAAACATGCAAGAGACGCCTCTAAAGGTTTTTTTAACCCCACCTGTCCTCACAGCTTCATAGGTGCAGCAGGTAGCACACAAGAAAACAAAAGGTTTGACTGAATCCCAGGATGTTGCTGCTCTGCCGGAACAACGCTGACAATTTAAGTGTCCACCCACCTCCTTACCTAGTGTTTTTAACTAGTTTCCACTACGTGATGAGATGTAGGGATCCCCCTGCTTACCTTGTCCCCGGTCTCCCTCCACCAAACCTTCAAACAAAAGCAGATCCAGAACACAGGTGGGTTAATCAAGCAGCAGCATGTGGGAGGAAGAGTCTCTCCGCTCTTTAGGGAAGCCTCCTTTTATCCTCTGCCCTGCCCCACAATTGGTCCAAGGAAAAGTTAATCAGCCAATCCAGGGCCGCCACACCTAGTCTCTGCACCCTGTGTAAAAAGGGACAGGGAGAGGGGAGAGAAAGAGGAAAAACAAAGGGAGAAACACATACCCTGCCTGACTGGCATGTAACACATCCATCCATCCATTTTCATCCGCTTATCCGGAGTCGGGTCGCGGGGGCAGCAGCCTGTGGCGAGAGGCCCAGACTTCCAGGGGAATCCCAAGGCGTTCCCTGGACAGGTGAGAGACGTAGTCCCTCTACCGTGTCCTGGGTCTACCTTTAGGTCTCGTCCCGGTTGGACGTGCCCGGAAAACTTCACCAGGAAGGCATCCAGGAGGCATCCTGACCAGATGCCCGAGCCACCTCAACTGGCTCCTCTCAATGTGGAGGAGCAGCGGGTCTACTCCGAGCCCCTCCCGAATGACCGAGCTTCTCACCCTATCTCTAAGAGAGAGCCCAGCCACTCTTTGGAGAAAACTCATTTCGGCCGCTTGTACCGCAATCTCGTTCTTTCGGTCACTACCCAAAGCTTATGACCATGGGTGAGGGTAGGAACGTAGATCGACCAGTAAATCGAGAGCTTCGCCTTCTGACTCAGCTCTCTCTTCACCACGACAGACCGATACAACGCACTAGGATAACTCCATTTCATGCTTAATGTTTTGACTATCGCTTTGGGTTTGTTACGAACGTCCCTGCCTCTCTTCCTCTTCTTAGTTGTGGTCTTATGGCACTTGGCAAACAACAATTTGGTGCATTACAGCCACCAACTGGACTGAAGTGGAATGACTACCAATCACTTCCTGTTTGTGCATCGCCGTCTTAATAACCCTCTTATGACCATAATTATAACTGGGCCGCCTGGTCGGTTTTTAATTTTATGGCTGTAATATTGTAATAAAAAGTACAAAGTGTGTGCAACTCTTCTTTTTTTTCAGAACAACCTCAGCTTTCAGTGTATGGTTTGTATTTAGAATTTATTTCTATTAAAGCCTTTAAAAAATCAGCTTAAAAGTGGAAAAAGCAAAAAACGGATTTGAATTGTTTACATTTTTTACTGAACAGGAACTTCAAAGTGACTGGGCAAACAATTAAAACTTTGAACTGTATTGCATTTAATCTTAAAAAAGTGTGAACCTTGGTGTCATTTTTAGCTGTTTTTAAGACCATTAATTTTTCTAAACTTTCAGACGTTTTTATTTGATGTGGTAGACCTTGAAGCAGTTTCTCTCCAGCTGCAGGCAGAGTCCTGCACACCTCACACTGCATGGGGTGCTTCTCTTGCACTGCTATACCAAAAACTTTTGTTTTAGCAAAATAAGTATTTATGGTAAAAAGATAAATAATTCTGGAATGAAGCTGAATCTTACAATTAGCAAATAGTTGAGGGTTGTTCAAATAAAAAAATAAAATATAAAGATGGAACAATCATTCATACCATGGTTCACTGGAGATCTGTCCTTCTTCACGGTCACTGTCTTCAGATATAATTCTGGGACACCTAATAGATCATGTTGATTTTCTTTGAGGCATTTTCATAATTTCATGCTGGCTTTTTATGCTAATTAGCTTCCCCGTTCCGTTATCCGCTTTCACCGTGGCGCTGCGCTCCGTTTCAATCAGGCTGTACAGCAGGATTTCCCCTCGTAGCGATATTTTCCCTAACTCTGATTGCTTCATGCTATAGATCGTTGGAAAGCTGCTTTTATGTACTTTTAGGAACCATTGAAATTATTTGAATCTGATCAGCCATTCAAAAGTTATAAAATGGAGCATTTTGGATGATAAACTCAGCACGTCTCTGAATCTGTGTTGTGATTCGTTGCGCTCAAGACAGGGAATCCCGGTGGCTACCGTAATGTATTGTATATGCCTGAAAAGCCCCATTTTTAATCTTTTGAGCACTTTTGGAATTTTAATGATATCTTGAACGGTTCAGGAATTATGGTAATGAGAAGTGCGCATGTACAATCCCGTCTGCGGCCACAGGTTGGTAATAAGAATATTGTGGCATTAACAGAGGGGTGCCGGCAGTCAGGGCTAGGGGGCCCCCCAACACAAGGGGGCCCCAGGCGGCTGTCTACCTATGCCTAATGGTAAAACCGCCTCTGCTCTAACGCCAGTTCAAAGTGTTCTAGAGAAGTGTCGGAGTAGCCAATCCGTAACGTTCCTCTTCAGCCGAAAGAACCAACAACAAGCTGGATAAAATTTGTTGCATTTTACCAACCAAGCAACGGTTCATTTCAGAATAAAAGCTGAACCATCAAGACCCAGGTTTGGGTCTCTCCAGATGCCAACAAATTGTCAGAGAATCAGAGAGAATTTTATTGCCAGCGCTCCAGCGAACCAGAGCATAGGAACTTGACTCCACAGAACAGCCTGACCAAGGTACAAAAAGAGTCTAGAGACGAGATGAGTTAAATATGAGCCCATATGTTTGTTTTCAAACCTAGTTACACAACAACAGACTTAAAGTGTATCTCAGATAACTTAAGGAAAAAAATTATTTATTATATAACGGCTTTCAGACATGAAAACAAACACAAAAATATCTAAAAATTAAAATAGAGAGAAAATATGAAATATAACAGAAAAATAAAATATATAGTTAATCAAAACATTTGTTTTAGTTTTGGACTTTTCTTTAAATAGGTACTTTATTTTAGTGATTTTATAATGTTTTTTTTTAAAAATGGCTAAACCTTTAAATTGCTCATAAATGAAACCATTTTTGACCAACGGGTATTAAAAGTCCCAAAAAAGACAGAAACTAACATATTTTGGATTGTTTAGTAAAACAAATGTAAAGTAGAATGCATATGATGAATTGAAAAAACTTGCACAAACCTTTTTACTTACTTATTGAAAATCATAAAAAAGATCTATGAAAACGATTCAAGTCAAACAATAAACACTCAAACAGCATTAACCTGACAAAGACCTTAAATGAAAATATAATGGCTGTAAATGCATCTGAACTTCCAATAAGGAAAAAAGAATAAATAAATAACTCGTAAATTGCTTAAATAACTCCAAAAACACAGCTCCACATAAAAAATGCAATACTAAGTCAGCGGGCCCCTCTGAGCCCCCCCGCCCTTCCTTCCTCTGTCTCAAACCTCTCCCGCCTCTCCGAGCGGCAGACCGGGCTCTCGCGGTGCCCGAATCGAACACTCTCGGTTTGTGAGGAGCTAAGGAGCCACAGCAGGAGTGAACACTGGACGGGACGGATTCAAGAGACGAGGATCAGAACAAAAGTCCAGAAAGAAGAGCAGAGTCGGTTTTTTTCAGCGAGCTCGGTCAAAAGTTGTTTCTCTTCGGGAAAACGAGCGGACCCATCCAGCTCTGGAGGAAACACGCTGCTGTCCGGGCGGGCTGGAAACAACATTCCGACTTAGGTAAGGGGGTCAAGTCTGCTCAAACCTGGTATTCAAGGAATCTTGTGTTTTATTTACTTATCTTAACAAGAGAACAAACTTAAGGAGTCTGTTTTCAGGCGTTTTTGTCTCCAAGCCATCGAAAATTTACATTTTATTCTAAACTATCTGCAAAAAAGTTGTTGATCTCCACAAAATGCGTAGATTGTGTTTGAGTATCATAAAGTGATTCAGTCTAAAGAGAGTGTTTCCTAATTTTCACATGAACTGCTTGTGTGTGTGTGTGTGTGTGTGCGTGTGCGTGTGTGTGTGTGTGTGTGTGTGTGTGTGTGTGTGTGTGAGAGAGAGAGAGAGAGAGAGAGAGAGAAGCGTGTGTGAGTGAGAAAGAAAGAGAATAAACATTGCTCTGTTATCACCATCCAGCTGTTTCTGAATTCCCTTTGCAACTGGCACACACACACACACACACACACACACACACACACACACACACACACACACACACACACACACACACACACACACACACACACACACACACACACACACACACACACACCACTTCCCTTGTAATGGCAGCTCCCTGGATATCTGCAGCTGCTTTTGTTGAAGACTGAAAGATGCAGATCAGGCAGCAAACCACATCTGAAAGAGCGAGAGACTATCATATTTGTTTTAATGCTCCCAAGGTCTGCCCCTTATATTTATGGATTTGGTTTGGAGCTGAATTGGAAAAAGTCCGGGTCTGATTGGACCATAAATAATTCCCACAGAAGTAGATGGAAACGCTGAAGGAGCAAGCGCGCCTGTGATTCTAAACTCCCTCCTTGCTGATGATTGATGGGTCAGATGTTGTGTTGTCGCTGATAAAAGTGGAATGCAAACATTAGGGCCAACACACACATAAATGTGTGCATGCGCACAGCGGACTTGTAAACACTCTCCATGCATGATCAGTTCACTTCAGACTTATTACAGCTCCATAATCAAAACATAGCGTTCGTGCCTGCTTACAGCTAAAATCTAAATCATCTCATAGTGTCAGCGCAGCACAGCGGGCAGATGGAAGGGGAGAAGTGGGGGTTGATAGTGTTGGGTGAGCATGAAGATTTTGGGCTGTAAGTAAAGAAAAGGGTGGAGGAAACGGATCTTTTTCAACCTGATGTCTTTCTCAGGGCCCTGGGGGGCCAACATGTGAGGTGACTTAACAAAGAACACAACCTAAGTCGTGGTCAAAGTTATTCTGATGGCACCATTTCTCCTTTAGGCCATTGCTGCCAAATAAACTGACATATATTCAGCACATAACATTTTTCTGACTGTTTAACCTAAATATTTCTATTTTTAGTAAACGTCAGACACCATTTATAACCAGTTATTCATGAGAAGGCCAAAATTACTTTTATGACACCAGAATCAACCAAAAATAAGCCTAACTTTAGACATATTTTGGATAAGAATAAAATATTTTGCACTATACATCTATTTTAAAACCATTGTTAAACATTATATTCTTTTTAACTTTTCAGTCATTTGAAGGAAACATAAACAGATTGTGCCACTGCAAAAGGAGAGAAGAGCTGCTACGGAAGCCCGGATGTCCAAACGGGGAGTAAGCTCACTTAAAAATGAGTTTTTTAGGAGCAGATGCATTCTTGCATAACAGTTTGAGTAGAATCCTTCATAGCAGCAGATGTTAAAACCAACAGTGGACTGATATAAATATAGACACAAGTCTGGTACATAAATGTAATCTTCAGTTAGATTTTTTTAATTTATTTTTAGGAAGAATTTTCTGATTTCATCCGTTTGGCCGCGTCGGACGTGGAGTTGTCCGATAGCGGGTGTTTTAGTGGAATAGAAGTTTCTCCCAGTGAGGTCATTAAAACGGTACAAGAGCAAAGTAGATAAGATACGTGCTTTCATTCAGACGCACACATGCGCACACAAACACAAAGGCTGCCCTTGTGTGAACAACTGTAATTAGCTGCCTGGGTTTGCTGTGACCTTTCCTTTTTCTGCTTTTGGAGTGCCACTGGTGCACACCTCTAATGAATTTTCACTTTTCAACGTGTTAAAGCGGTTTTCAAAGTCTGCCCATCAAAACTGTTTTGCACCAGGCCAGGAATTTGCATCGTAGCTTTTAAACAGAGCTTGTTGAAGTTGTCTTGTTTGTTGCAATCATTCATGCACAGTACATCAACAATGAAATTAGCTCTTAAGTTTTGCAATTTTTTTGCATATATTTGAATTCCAGTTATTTAACTGAATGTTTTTCTTGAAACAATAATGAAAGTAGTAATAAATCACTCCTTCTAGTGGCTATATCTTTTTATTTGTAACAAATAAAAAACAAAAGTAAGAAAGGTAGATGTGTTAAATATGAAGTTTTTCAGGCGTGCTAAATAATAAGACGTACAGTAGGTACGGAAAGTATTCAGACCCTCATCAATTTTTCACTCTGTTATACTGCAGCCATTTTAAAAAATCAATTAAATTAATTTTTCCTCATTAATGTACACACAGCACCCCATAGAAAATACAGAATTTTAGAAATTTATTGAGATTTATAAAATAAACAGAAATATCACATGGTTCTAAGTATTTAGAGCCTTTTCCCAGTATTTATTAGAAGCACCCTTTTAAGTTAATACAGCCATGAGTCTTCTTGGTAAAGATGCAACAAGTTTCTTACACCTGGATTTGGGATCCTCTCCAGTTCTGTCAGGTTGAATGGTGAACGTTGGTGGACAGCCATTTTTAGGTCTCTCCAGAGATGCTCAACTGGGTTTAAGTCGGGGCTTTGGCTGGGACATTCAAGACCAGTCACCAAGTTGCTGTAATCTTTGCCCAGTGGGACATGCATAGTTATTTGTACTTTTGTTTTGATTCCCCACAGGCAGAATTAGTTTTATTATTCCCAACCTGTGGATGGAAAGATTTATGTTTTGTTGTTGTTGTTGTTGCAGCACACGTTCCCCTGTTGTTTCTCACCAGTATCAGCTGATGGAGGGCTCTAGCTTCTTTGCGCCTTTTGTGTTGTTGTGTCAGCGGACACGGTAGGGTCGGGGAGGGGGGCGGGGCATGATGCTTAGCCTGGCGGGTGGGCAGGCAAAGCCTGGTGGGCCGCCAGGCTTATAAAGCGCTGGGGGAAACCCTGCATAACCAAAGTCGAGGGCTTCTCCGACCAGGGCTGTCCAACCGTTCCTCCAGTGGAGCCAGACCTGGCCTTGCTGTTTGGTGCCAAGAACCACCTCGCTGGCCAGCAAGCTGTTCCCGCTTCCAAACATGACCAGCTCCTGGCACGGCTCACCGATCGTGCACACCAGTGCGCTTTCCAAACTGGCATTGCAGGAAACAACATCACCCTTCTTGCCTTTGGCGTCTCCAAAATGGTGGAAGAGCTCGACGCTCCTGACGAGTCAAAAAACATCATTAGCAAGACTGCTGATGCCATTCTCAAAATATGCGCTGCTGTGCTCACCGGTTCTGCTCGCATTGCTGCCTGGCAGACCCTTATCCAGTGGGTCTTGTGGCTCAAGGCCCTGCCCTCCATTCCCGAACACCTGCACAGAGAAATGCTGGAAGGCCCTATCACCTCTGAGGTTCTGTTTGGTCCTGTTGGGTATTTTTATATCCTTAAAATAAACCACACAGGAGAAGGGATCAGTAAGGTTTTATACACTGGATGCAGCAGAGAGTAGAGGCTGAGAGCCTGCAGGACCCCCATCCGACCTACTCTGGCCTCTCTCCTCTGACCACAGCAGTTTTATTGAAACACAGGAAAATATGAACAAAGAACAATCCATCACTGTCCTACACTAGCCAATAACATCGTTGCTTCTAGGCTAAGGTGGGATATTCCAAAAAGGAAGTCTTAATTTATGAAGCTGCCTGACAGCCAAAAGCTGCTGAGTCACTCAGTAACTATGGATTCCTATTGCTAGGCAGATTATTCCACCAACCCCCACAGCATACTGGAGCTCGACTGAAAGGAAAGAAAAAAGCCCTGAGGCTTACTCCACAACATGATTACTTAAAAAGGAACATTTATGACAGTTAAATACATTAAAACCTAACAGCTCCCCATCTTAGGAGCGCCATCGAGAGAGCTCAAAAGACAGCTGAACTGTTAGCCACGGTGTGAGACCTGGTCCGCCCCTGGTTCACCCTCTCTCTGGCCGCTCCTCCAGAGGATGGGACGAACACCGGGGCCAGCGTGGAAATTTCAAATGCCCAGCTGCACCACTTGCCTTTCGGAGCCGGCCTCCCGCTGAGGTGGAGCCGAAGCGGGACCGGAAATCTGACAACCAACGGTTCCGAAAGAACCAGCAGACGTTATCCTGGCCTTCTCAGTCACAAGAGCGTCACTGAAAGCAACCAAGAAAATGACTCGTTGGGGGGAATGTGTGTGTTAATGACTGTATTGTTAACTCAGTGGCTGATGTTGGTTTTGAAATAAAACCCAAACAACGTTACATTGAGAGCAAAATCCTAGTCCTCTGCAGAATCTTCTGCCGAATCCTCACACATGTTCCCCACACTAAGCACTGCGAAACACCTGCATGTTCACGCAGTCAATCACATGACACGCCCACAGCTGGCTGTAAAGGTGCGTTCCATTTGCGCGCCGGCCCTAGCTTCCAGCCTGGCCCAACACACCTCGCTCCCCCCACAACGTAGGGTGGGACGGGTTGTCATGACACTATCGCGACCATGTGCAGCGTTACAGTGTGCGGCTCCATCCGCTGGCACTTAATCGTCCCCGTGCACGGGTCCGGCTCCCAATCATCCTTTATCTTTGGACACTATGCTCCGCGGTGCGAATCAGCTTTTCCAGCTGTTTCACACTCGCTCGAAAGGGCAGCCCTCCATGGGTCGCTCCCAGTTCTCCTCTGGTGCGAGCAACGGCGGTAAGGGCACGAACCCAGTCCTCAGATATAGTTCACGTGACCTCAAACACGCGTCCGCTGTCGGAACGCTCACAAGAATGACGCCACCTTTGTCACATGAGCAAATGG